ACACTGTAGCCATTGTAACAACTTAGCACAACTCATTACTCATGTTTGTGGTGATGCTGGTGTAAACAAACCTACAGCACTTCCAGTCTTATAAAAGTATAGCACATACAATACTGTACAGTACATACAATATTGCATGTATAATATTATTGTATATATAATATAATATTGTATGTATAATATAAAAAGTATAGCACATACAATATTGTACATATAGCACATATAATACTGTTATGTACATAACATAACAATTATGTTATTGGTTTATGTTTTTACTATACTTTTGTTATTATTTTAGACTTATTATCCTTATCCTTATCCTTCTACTTATTAAAAAAAAATAGTTAACTGTAAAACAGCCTAAGGCAGCTCCTTCAGGAGGTAGTCCAGTAGAAGACATTGTTATCATAGGAAATTACAGCTCCATGCATGCTGTTGTCCCTGAAGACCTTCCAGTGGGACAAGATGTGGAGATGGAAGACAGTGATGATGATTCTGACCCCGTGTAGGGCTAAGCTAATGTGTGTGTTTGTGTCTTAGTTTCTAACAAAAACATTTAAAAAGTAAAAAAAAAAAAAATCTTATAGAATCAGGATATAAAGAAAGAAAATATTTTGAACAGCTGTACAATGTGTTTGTGTTTTAGGCTAAATGTTATGACACCAGTCAAAAGTTGAAAAAAATTTAAAGGTTTATAAAGTTAAAAAGTTATAGTAAGCAAGGTTAATTTATTATTTCTCAGAATACACTGTTAAATGATGCAAGACTGTATGTAAAAGAAACCTCTGATTGCCAACAATGCAACATTAGCATATGAAGGGATTGGATAATGCAATGCCTGTAAAAGTTACAGCTGCCCTCTCTGAAAGGCGATTTGGGAAGTATTAGACTTCTTTCTTAGACAAGCCAACACTCAATCCAGAAGTAGACGATTGCTGATGGGAACATTTCAGTTAAGAACATAAATTTAGGCCCTAGATATAGAGTAGATTCTGATTGTTTAGAATTATAGAACTTTGGAACTGAAATTAAAGAGGAGGGAGAAATGGAGGGAGAATAAGAAAAATAAAGTCAATGGAGTATCTTGGGTTTCTTGGTTCCATTCTTTCCCTGTTCTGCAGAACCTAATTTTATCAATTAATATATAAATATGCTCAAATGTTTCTCATAATTGAAAATAAAAGCTTCCATGTCTTACAAATCATGAGTCTATTCCTTTTACTCTTATCTAACATTTTGTAAAAGTTGTAATCTCTTTACTTCTCTGGTCTCAACCCCTGCAAACTAAAATACTGCTTGCATCTATACTGCTTTTCTCAAACTGTTGCCATGAGGACCATGGACAATTTCTGCTCTGCTAAATTCAACAAACATACTTTCCAATCTCCATCTTCAACAGACACACTTTTCATTTCAACCTCTTTGTGACATCTGGAAATACTGACTACTTATTCTATTTTGAAATTCTATTATCTGTTGCCTTCTTGAACCCTGACTTCTGACTTCTCAGTTTGCTGCCTACTATGTATTTGTCTGTTTCGTTGATGGGCACCCCTTTCGCCAACTACTTTTTAGGGTTGCTCATGCCTCAAGATTACTGCTAGCATTAGTTCTCTCTTCTGCCTTCTAACATGCAGGTTGAGTAAGTGCATTCTTTTCCATGGCTCTGACCATTAGTGGTATGCTAACATACCCATCTCCAGCAAAGTTCTGACAGTCTGACACGTCCATTTTGTTTTGGCCTTCAAAATAAACCTTTTTTCATTTTCACACTTGTAATGCTTAAAACTGCCAGTCTTATCCTACCCCTGGGTTTCAACCATGGAATCAAGTTTTATTGTTGAACTCTAGTAAGTCTTCCAGAAACAAATAGTTCACATAATGTTTAAACAGTTGGAAGTTTTAGAAAACAAAAGAATTCCCAATTCCTTTTATGAAACTAACAAAACCTGACAAAACTAGCCTAATATCAGTTGAATATAATATGAAAAATAAACATATCCTGATTATGACTATAACTGTAAAATTCTAAGTTAAGTATTAGGAATTTGAATGTTGCATTATGTTAAATTTATGGTTTATTTCAGATTGCCATTAAAAAAACCATGACCATGTAAATAGATGTTCATTAGTCATTTGATAAAATTTAAATTTTATTAAATTACAGATAATCCTCTCATAGCTGTTTGTTCATTGAACAGGTAAATTAACCTATTTGGATCTTTAACTATAAAAATGGGTCTATATTACTTTAAACTTCTGATTTTTTTTAAAAATTGCGTTTCTCTTTTAATAATATTTTTATCTTTGAAATTAAGCATTTAACATCTGTTTTTCCTACCAAACTGAAATCACCTAAAAGACATGCAGTACTGTCCACAATGTGTAACTTAACACGTGTGAGTGTGCATGGCCAATTATAGAATTTGTGAAACCCATTGCAAAGTGAAAATAAGAGTCCCTTTATTTAAAAATAAAGAATTTCAATACGGTGACAGCAGAGCATCAAATGAAGGACAAGCCCTTGTGCAACTACATAACTACACAGATCACATATCCACAATGTTGGCTGTGCGGCTGTGTGTGTGTTTGAAATATGTTGAATATTATTACTGGAAAGTTAAATAAAAATAACTTCATACTACCCTTAGTTAGAATGATTGATAGAATTCAGATCACAGACTATAAAAAGTAGTCATATAAGGTTGAGTAAAAATAGTTCAGATATTAATTCAGTTCACAGACTGTAAAAAGTAGTCACATTAGGTTGAGTAAAAATACTTCAGATATTAATCAAGAAAGTATTTTCTGGTTAACAATAATTGACTATTCTGACTGAAAATTGTAGAACATTAAAAGACATTGGTTAATGTTCAATAATTTTCTCTTTAAATTGATATCATTTAATTTTATTTGTACTTCTATTACATTGTATTCATCATTCAGAGAATGTTGTCTTCCCTTTTAACATTTATTTAGTATTATTCGTAAAATATATCTACTATTTTGTCCCCCTTAAAGGCTTTTCTGCCCAGTTCATTGAGTCTATGAGCAAACATAATAGTAGTAACCACTCCATTTCTTTAATCATAAAACAATAACATTTTAAACATTTAGAAAACATTTTATCCTTGTTCATCTACCTTATAAAAAATAATATTCACTTTATCAAAATGTCAAAAACTATTTGAAGACTTCATTTTGGATTTTTTTCTAAAGGATATTATAGACAGAAAAGTCATTACTTGATGTTTTTAGAATGTGCCCATTTCATATAACAATTCCCAAAGCTTTATGAATATTCTCCTCAGAGATATTCTTCATAATTGGGGGCAGAATCCAGTGTAACATTTGCATTGCCTCTCCTGCAGCTCTGAATAATTTCCCCTCATGCTTCCCAAAAGTTCAGGTATGCACAACCCTTATTCTGCCCGGATTTATGGTGATTGTGATAAAAAGAAAGGATTTCCTTTTGTGCAAGTTATTGATAGTTACTCTTTTACTTTGCTCCTGGAAAGTTCAAAAAAAAAAAAAAAAGGGTTGGTGGGGAGGTACAGGCTATGAACAGTTACATACCTCAGTGCTGCTGTCAGGGATTTTAAATAAATAAATGAATCCCCAAGCTAGGCATGTTTCATTATAGAACTCATTTTTAAAAGTCACTCCAGTGTCGTGTCTGTCCCCCTCCCCAACTCCCACTCTAGGTTCCAGAGAAATGGAAACACATGGCTTTTCTCACTCCACTCTGTCTCCTGTTTCCATTTGCTTCCCCCCTTCTCTTTCTCTTTTTTCTATTTTCTTCTTCCATGCACTTTCTCTTTCGCACATATTCACTCATGCATTCCCATTCACCCGTTCTCTCTTACTCTGTCACTCGCAGTACTTATTGAATGCCAGCCACGGACTAGGGACCATACTAAGTGGATGCGGGGCTGGAAGAGAAAGGCCAGTGTGGCTGGAGGATAGTGATGTGATGCCAGGAAACGTCAGAGAGGGCAGCAGGGCCCAGATCACCAGGGCCCTGGGGGCCTGGTAGCCAGTGGAAAGTCGTCAGAGGGCGGGGCACAAAGTGGAATCAGATATCCTGCTGCTCTGAGAAGAATGAAGGGGTTTCGGGTAAAAATGAAAGCCAGAAGATCCCTTAGACCACCTTAGGGTTTATTTTGAAGGTGAAGCAGAGAGGACTTCTCTATGGATTGGATGTGGGAAGCAAGACGAAAACAGGAATCAAAGATCTAAAATTCAGGCTTGAGTAACTCTGTTCTCACTAGTTTGTTGTCATCCTCATTTTCTTTCTCCTTCCCTCCTCTTTTCCTCTTCCTTGTTCACACTATAACAGAATGTGGCATACTCCTTACCAGTCCCAAGTTCATTCCTCTTCAAGTTTCAATTTATAAGTCACAAACTCCAGAAACCTTTCCTGAAGTCCCCACACGGAGGCAAAGGCACACACATGCTGTCGTCTCCCTCCCGGCATCAATGTGCACATTATTACTTTATTCACAGGAGTTCCAAGCAGGAGTTTCTACAGCCCAAACACAGCAAATCTGTGTCTAAGCTCAGTTAGCTAAGTGAACTTTGGCAAGTTATTTAAGGAAGTCTCAGTCCCCACACCTATAAAGTGCACATAAGCAAATGGTCTGTCTCACACAAAGTTTTGCATGAGATGATATACACAAAATGCTTAGCACAATACTGGCGTAAAGCAAATGCTAGATAAATGGTCGTTATTATTATCATTGTTGTTACTAGTTTACATTATCCACCTTCGTCTAAGCGGTGATTCTGCAGAACAGCAGAAATCAAAGTAATGTAGCAAATAAGCTACATATTTCAGACCCAGGAAAAAATTAACATCTCAGTGGCACATATTCAAGATGGATAGTTTATTAGCCAATTCAGATAAGTGTGCATGTGCAAGTCGTAGTTATTAAATATTACTGCCAGTTTCCACGTCCTGCATTTAATTTGAGGTTTGATCTTCCAAATATAACACTTACCAGATAAGATGGACCCACGGGATTATTTTTCCTTGAGGTCTCACCTGAGCAGGTGCATGTACAGAAGACAGAGCGGAAAGAGACTGATTAGAGAGGCTGGAGTGGTAGAGGGTGTGACCCTCTTAATCATTCTTCACTTCCTTTTTTTTACAAGACGACTTGGCATCGTCCACCACATCCGCAGCAACGCCTCTTTGGTGTTGTCCGCTTCCAATAACCCAGCTTGGGTCCTGCACACTTGTGGCTTAAGTGCACATAGTAACAACTCATGGTTCTAGCTGTCAGTCGCCAAGCATTGCCAAAGCTTGGAGAGGTCATCTGGAAAGACTTTTACTCAGAATCATTTTGATTCAGGCCAGCTGGATTCTCCCGCGGTGATATGGAAATTCGCTCCCTGCTCTGATTCTCCTCCAGGTGCGGGGGAAGCAGGTGCCCAGGAGAGAGGGGATAATGAAGGTTCCCTGCTGATGATCCCAGATTGAACCTGCAGACCAAGCGCAAAGTAGAAACTGAAAGTACGCTGCCGGCGGGTCCTACGGAAGTTATGGAAAAGGCAAAGCGCGGAGCCAGGCCGTGGTGTGTGACGCCCCCACTGGGATGGATGAAACAGCAGGCGCGGCGTGGGTAAGAGGAACCAGCTGCAGAGATCACCCTGCCCAGCACAAACTCACAGGCTCGGCAACTCCGCGGAAGACCAGGGCTCTGGGAGTGACTATGGACGGTGAGAGCTTGCTCCCGCTCCAGTTGCGGTCATCATGACTACGCCTGCCTCCCGCAGACCATGTTCCATGGTAAGCGCTCTTCTCCCTTGCGCACAAGTTCGCGCGCCCGGCGCGCCGGGGCAGTCTGGGACGCACTGGGGGCCCCTGCACCAAGGCACGTCCGGGAATAGCCGAGCCTTGCACTTTGCACCTGAGGAGAGCACTGGCTCTCCCATGGGCAGCTGCCAGGCGCGCCTGAGTATCCTGGCCCATAGCCTCTCGAACCTGAAACTGCTGCTGTCCCTAGCAGCAGTCCCAACGCCTGATTTCTGTCCCGAGACGGAACGCTCCAGCCTCCGCGCCGCTCAGCGGTGGCAGCCAGTAGCCGGTCTCAGAGGCAGCCAATGGCTCTCTGTCCATCTGTCCGCCCTTCGTGTGCTTCTGGCAGCCCCAAGTTACTCATGCAGGCGGCCGGGGTTCCGCGAGTAGCTGGGCTCTTGCAGCTCAGAACTCCCTAGAGAAGTGAAAGCGAAGCTCCCACGGGACGCGCTTTTAAACCCTAGGGGAACAGGTCTCCGGAAAACCCCGTTTTTCCCCCTGAGTAAGGCTGGGAGTTTCCAACAAGGGTTGTACCTTGCGCCTATTGCTGGGAAACCAGTCCTGCGGCTGGCGCTGAGAAAGGTCAGCTTCTATATTTTTTTCCTACAGGAGCTTCTTGATGGAGGCAGGATTAAATAGGCATGACTCTAACTTCTAGACCAGTGATGAGACCTAATATGTCTTATTTGTGCAGTTTACGGATTTAGAATGGAAAGGGGCAGAATTCAGGAGGGTTGGATTCGGATGGCAGTCATGTATGGCTAATGTAAAAGGCCAAAAAAAAAAAAAAAAAAAAACTTACCGGAATAAAAAAAGAGGAAAAGAATTTAAAAAGGGAAAAGATCTGCTTAGAAAAATTGGAATGCTTTACAGTAAGTACTTCCTCAAGCAAGAGGACAGCTGGGGGGAGGGTACGGGAATAGGAAACGGACTTCTCTTTCTTTTGATGGCTACTCCGTTAGATCAAGACTCCTTTCCACTATCGTGGGTAAAGAACCAATAATTGACATAACCAAGGAGTACCAAAACAAAGTACTCAGTAACAAAACAAAGATAGGGAGAATGGGAAGAATATCCAACATAATTATGGAATAATTGTAAGGAGTGTCCTCTCGGAGCTTAATTTAAAACTAATAATTGAGCTCAACGCTATTTTCCTTGCAATGTTCATAGTTCTCCTGCAGTTTCTTCTTTCTGGACCACCCTTGGCTCTAATCCTTGCCACATCTCTGATTTAAGGTAGAAAGGTAAACTGAGAAAAGGAAGCTAGTGTGTGCATTTTTCAGAAAGAGCCTTTACTTTCTGAAGTGCAGCTATATGAATCATGGGCTGTAAGTGTTCATTAGCAGACAAAATATTAGAATTCTAATAATAATGATTATAATGCATGGCTTCCTGAAATTTCAAGAGATTTCACCAGAAGCTTATTCCATCAAGAGTGCACATAAGGTTACTCTTTATTCTTTTTTCTTTGCCATTTCTTTTGAGAGTTGAAGTAGTTGAGGACCTTCTATGTGGTCTCCAACTGTCTTATCTGGTTTGGGTAATTTCATCATATTTTAGGACCAAAAAGTTGAATAGCAATAAAAACAGACTATGATCAGGAGGCTGAGACAAGAAGATTGCTTGAACCTAGAGGTCAAGGCTGCCATGAGCCATGATCTTACCACTATACTTCAGCCTAGGCAACAGAGTGATGCCCTGTCTCAAAAAGTAATAATAGAGAACTAATATTAGAAAGCCTGAGCAGGTATAAAGGAGAATTACAAGCTGCACCAAATCAGTGTTTGAATATTTTTTTAAAAATGGAAAAGGCCATTTCATAGAACAAATTTACATGTCATGTTCACACTCATGTTTGTGGCTTTTTTTGTTTGTTTTAACCCTGACACATAACCTACTATAAGAAGAAGAAATATTTAGTGTCTTTTTATGAAATAGGAGCACATGATGCAGTTTCACAGCTTGGCCAGGCAGTACCTTAGTGAGGTTCATGCAGAGGAAGATGGATTTTTCTTCATTCCCCTTGACTATACATATATGGTTATTTTTTTGTGGAAGCAGTGTAGTTTAGTGTCTAAAAGCTGAGGTTCTAGACTCTTCAACCTGATAAATTTGGATTTGAATCCCATATCTATATTATATTTAGGAATTTTCTGGCCAAGCATGGTGGCTCAAGCCTATAATCCCAGCACTTGGGGAGGCCAAGGCAGGTGGATCACCTCAGGTCAGGTGTTTGAGACCAGTCTGGCCAACATGATGAAACACTGTCTCTACTAAAAATATAAAATAATTAGCCGGGTGTGGTGGTGGGCACCTATAATCCCAGCACTTTGGGAGGCCAAGGCAGGTGGATCATGAGGTCCAGAGTTCAAGAACAGCCTGGCCAAGATGGTGAAACCCCATCTCTACAAAAAAAAAAAACAAAAAAATTAGCCCAGCATGGTGGCGCATGCCTGTAATCCCAGCCACTTAGGAGGCTGAGGCAGCAGAATCACTCGAACCAGGGAGGCAGAGGTTGCAGTGAGCCTAGATCGTGCTACTGCACTCCAGCCTGGCAACAAAGCTAGACTCCATAAAAAAAAAAAAAAAATAGCTGGGCATTGTGGTGGCTGCCTATAATCCCAGCTACTCAGGGAGGCTGAGGCAGGAGAATTGCTTGAACCTTAGAGGCTGAGGCTGCAGTGAGCTGAGATCACACCACTGCACTCCAGCCTGGGTGTCAGAGTGAGACTCCATCTCAAAAAAAAAAAAAAAAAAAAGCAAAGCAAAAAAAAAACAAAACAAAAGGAATTTGCCTATATAAATGTCTTGGTACCCCACAGTCTGCATCTATAATTGGGAATAACTTGTAGTACTTAACTACTTCCTCATGAAGTGGTTATGGAATTAAATTATTAGTGAAAATAAGTCTATGCAATAGACATTCAGTAAACACTGGTTTTAAAGACTGATAAAGATGGAGTTGATGGATGAAAACGATCTTCACTTTGACTCCTCTAACTTAAGTAGCTGAGTATTGAATGTATTATTTGGCTTACATTAAAAATCAACAAGAATTTTTAGATAGACCTCATTCTGGTTTAACCAAATTCTCTACTGAAAACAAATTTCCAGTTTCAATCCCTTCAGAAGATATAAGGGCAATCCCACAAGCCCATGCTTGCCTTGCATATTCCATATTGTTTATCTTTTCTGTAATCTAATGAAAAGTTAAGGCTGTTGGGGAGTTGGTGTGACAACAATGTCAAAAGCACTCTCAAACCAGCCAATCTTAATATGTTACTCCCTATGTGATATAGGAGAAAGGTCTTCCATTACAGACCAAACTACCAAGCTACACATCATTAATGAGAGAGCTGGGAATCTATGAGATGTAGGTCCAAGGCCCTGGGTATGTTTGCAGCATTGTCTCTGAGGCAATTTCAGATCTAAAGGGTTTCTGCATTTGAATAGCCAGGTAGATTCTTAGAATAAGGTATCTGCAAGAAGAAAAAGATCATTTACTCTAAAGTTTTCATTTTGGAAATCAGGAAAGAGGAGCTTAAGAGATGCTCTGTCACTTACACAGTCACACAAACCATTGTCATAACAAGACAAAAGTCTCAAGTGTCTATATTCCAAAACCTCTGTGCTTTGCATTGTCATAGAGTGTCTGGGGCTAATTATCCAATGACAGCAATGGCAACATAAAACACTCTCTACAGACAAGGCAAATTATGTTTTAAAATTGAGAAAGCACATGTAATACACAAAAAGACTGAATTTTACACCAAACTTTCACTGGAAAAAAAAATGGAGAAAATGCCACCCAGTGAATAAATAGGTTGATATGAATTTGGGGAGCAAGCACTTAATTACTGAAAATTGGAGTGAAAAAGACAGCTAGTACTCATAGAAAGTAAAATAACTACATGTATTAAAACAGAAGGTGGATCTTTGAAATAACATATATGATAATGGTAAAAGTATCTCTTTCACTCTCGCATTTAATTATTTTATTATATTCTCCTTTAAGCTCATTTCAAGTTATATGTTATATAATTTTTTCCCTATCATCTATTCTTCCCCAAGTATACCTTTTGGACACCTTAAGATGACAGAAAAAATAAAAAGTATGATTCCATACAATCCATACAAATGTGATTACAAGGTCAGAATCTGGTAAATAACTAGCAGTTGATCATCCAAATGTTCATCAACAGAGGACTGAATAAAGAAAATGTGGTATGGCTGGGTGTGGTGGCTTATGCTTGTCACTCTGACACTTGGAGGCTGAG